CAGGGGCTGGGCTGGGCTGATGTGACCAGCAGCACCAGTGCTCGCAGGGGCTGGGCTGTGTAGTTGGTCACAGGCTAGTTCCCCACATAAAGTGGGAATGATAAATGCACAGACCTTGGGCTCCTGTGGAAAATGTTTGCCTTAGGGGATGGTTCCTGTTCTTATTTTAAGGACTAGCCCTCCTCCATGGCCTGGTATCTGCCCCCAGAGGACCTTCCCGGCAACCTCCCAATTCTTCATGAGTAGATGGGGCTGACTGGCTGTTCAAACACCCTATAGAAGCCATGGTGGTTTTTTGGCTGGTAATTTGAGTGATATGTCTACAGAAGCTGTATTTTACATTTTTAGTTTCAAAAATATAAAACTATATTTTTAAACATTTTGGCTTTTTCTGTTTTCCCACTCGCTCAATCTTCCCCAAATCTGACTTGGAGAACCTTCCTTCTCTAATCATGCACTGGAAGGGAAAACACAGGCTTTGAGTCCCGCAACTGCAGTTCAAACCTGACTCCACCCAGCCACTTGGGGTGACCAGGAGAAAGTGATGAGTTGACTCGAGCCTCGGTGCCCTCATGAATGAAGTAGGGATTATGAACCCAACTTTAGGGGCCGACTGTAGGGTGACAGTGCATATAAAGCAGCTGACACACAACAGATCAAAATAGAAGACAGCCCCGCACCCGTCCGGGAGGGGGAAGAGAGTAGCACATGCCACCGAGACCTCCCCAGCGCGCTGCTTGTCTGTGGTTCTTTCTGAGTCTCCAGGAATCTCAGGTCCATCCTCTGTCTCCCTGCCAGCATGCTGCCCAGTAACTGTCTTGTTGCCCTACGTCTCTTGATGGGAATACAGAACTGTCAACGCAGGGAATATAGGTTTATTAAAACAGGTCTCACAAAACTGACATGATTGGTGGCCTCCCAGTTGGGTAGTAAGTGGCTGAAGAACAGAGTGTGCCCTCTTCTAAATCTTCAATTTTAAACGTATCAATATATATGTGATCCTTTATTCAGAACATAAATGACTGAGGCTTTTTATTTTTCTTTCTGTTTATTTCTAAAGCAGCCCTCACTGTCTGGTCTGGGATGTCTGTTGCTTTTATTGCAACAGCCATTCATCCAGAGCTTGGGTGGTTTAAGACCCAAATAATCATCACCAACAGGCTTCTCCTGGAGACGGCTCTAGTTCTGTCATTGCTGCTGCGACACCCATTCACCCAGGGTGAAAACTGGTCACATCTGCAATTCCCTTCCTTTTTCTTTTGTCCCTGTAGTCAGTCATTAGCACAGCTGGGTGAGCCTTCTAGAAGGCTGGTATTTTTCTTTCCATTTCCACTGCGACCTCTAGTTTCAGGCTTTCGCTGCTTCACACCTTGACTAATAGTATAGCCAACACCTGACTTTACACTCTCCCTTCCTGCTGATCCTACATCCTGCTGCCGAGTGAATCGTAGAAGTTTGTTCTGCTCATGTCATTCCTCTGCTTCAAAACCTGCAGTCACAACTCAAGAGACGAGCAAATGGAGTGTAAATGCCCTCGACTGGCTTTACGGCTCGGAGACATGGCCCTGCCTGCCCTGGTCACCTTCACTCCTTTCACAACTCTCACAGCCTGACTCACATTAGACAGCTGGCCATTCTCCATACATAGCCCTCATGTGAGCTTCCTTGAATACATTTGATGTGTATCCATTAAACACCTACTATGTGCCAGGCACTGTTCCAGGTCCTGGGGATACACAGATGAAAAAGGCAAGGTCCCTCTCACTTCAGGGGCCACGTCCATCTTGGATGCCCTTTCTCCAAATGTTGAAGTTCTATCCGTCCTTAAAGGGCAGAGGGTTGAAACCCATCTCTCTGAAGACTGTGATGACTCCCTGAACCCAAAGTTGACTCTTTTCTCAGTTCCCACAGTCCTCTATTTATTCATTTACTTTTTTTTTTTTTTTGGTGGCACTAATCATATTCTGCCTTACATTTTAGTGATCTTTTTTATTTGCTTTCTATATTTTTAATATAATTGTAAACACTCATGTGCCGCTTAAGAACTGTGTCATTAGATTATTCTATTGTGCAAACATCTTAAAGGCACGTACACAGACCTGGGTGGTGTAGCCTACTGCACACCTGGGCGGCATGGCAGAGCCTCCTGCTCCTGGGCTACAAGCTGTACAGCATGTTGTTGTATAAAACACAAGGTTAAGCCACAGGAATTTTTCAGCTCCATTATAATCTACAGGACCACTGTCCTGTACAGTCCATGGACTGCATATCTGATATTTAAAGTGTTCTACATGATGACTTGATATACATGCATTGTGGAAAGGTTACCAAGTCAAGGTAATTAACACATCCAGAGAAGACATACAAATGGCCAACAGGTATTTGAAAAGGTGGTTCAACATCACCACCAGGAGAATGCAAATCAAAGCCACAATGAGTGTTTATTTTTCCTAAAAGATTTCTGGGCAACTCGAGAGTACAGCCTGTGTTTTTCCCATCTTTATAGTCTCCATAATGCTGAGCAGAGTTCACTCTTAGTAGAAGGTCCATATTTAGTGTATGAATAAGCAACTGGACCTGGACCCAGAGCTGCCCCCGGCATCTGTCAGAAGCACTCGCCTGTTCTCAGTGCTCTTTTCCTGGGTTCCAGAGTATAACTTCTAAGTATTATTGACTCTCATGCAACTGTCACCTAGTCATTTAAATCTACACCATTTAGATGTTTTAATATTCAGGGTATTTGGGAAATTTTTACATGGTATATGCAACCATAAAATTTAATCATCTAATCAAATATCATTTTAATACAACATAAACATAACAGTTTAATTCACATCAGCCGTTCTAATGTAGACTACAAACTCACCCATTGTGTTCTTTCCCTTTCCTAGAAAAGTACCATAATGATAACCTAGGCGTAGCACTTTTTTCTGTCAGTGGCTTATAGAAGTTTTTTGATTTGTAAACAAACCTGTAGACTATATAGGGTAGGTGTTTCCCTACTTTAAAAACAATCAAACAAAAGGACAAAGAAGTTGCATAATTTACAAGAAGTCAGAAGCTAATTACTGAGAAAGTCCAGGCTAACTTAATATCATGGGCATGATAATTCTGTATTTTTCATTACTTTAAAATAATTATGTGTTGTTTTTTCTAGTGAAAGAAATGATGTCTTAAGAGAAGCTGAGATTTTACACAAAGCTAGATTTAGTTACATTCTTCCAATTTTGGGAATTTGCAATGAGCCTGAGTTTTTGGGAATCGTCACTGAATACATGCCAAATGGATCCTTAAATGAGCTCCTGCATCAGGTAAGCACTGTGGTTTCCAGGGGCTGGAACTCCCTTCCGCTGCGGTGCTGTGGCCTCACCTGTGATCAGGTTATTGGGGAAGCCCACGGGAGTCGAGTGAGAATGAGGAGAAGCAGTGGCGGTGCTGACGCTTTGCCACCCGTGGCTTCTGAGAGAGCATGGAGCCAGGCCTCGCATTCTAAGGGACCTGCTTTGCTCAGGCTCCTGTTCCCGAGTTCTGCCCTGAAGCCCAATACCCACGTGTATAAAACACAGGTAGGCAGGAGAGAAAGTACTAAATGTTGATAATACCAGTTCATGAAGTTCTAAATTATTGGCCAAATAAATCCATCTCTGAGTACCAGATGCATTAGCTTTTCCATAATCGGCAGTGGCACGAGCCGTGTCTTTTTTTCCTGCAAGGTACCAGTTACTCTGGCCTTGGTTGTGAATCCCATCAGTAAACAAACTGGGGGATCCTCATTCTCAAAATAGGTGTACTCTTCTGTTGTTTGCTTGAGTGGACAGTATCTCCAACCTGCAGTTTTGTTCAATAAATCTTTAAACTACTCAGTCCATTTAGCAAGGGTGGTTTGGTTAAAACTTGGTGTAAAATCCAATTACTGGATGCTCCTGAATCCCGATCCATCAGTGTTCTGTAGGTGAAAAGGGAGAGTGGGGGACCCTGGCAGCCGCAGGTGAGTGACACCTCATTGATTCAGGACACAGCACATTCTTTGTACGACGTGAGCATAAAACAGGATGGGGTCAGTGTGTGAGGTTTGTGCAGTCACCACAGCAATCAAGATGCAAATATTAATCCAGCACAACTTTTTTTCTTTCTGAAAAATAAGTAGGAATTCCAGTGCTTTGTTCCCATACCTAGGGCCCCAGTAGACATTCTGGCACTCGGATGTGGAGCCCTTTAGGATTCTAGAGCCTCCTGCAGGGGAACTGCTGACTCCTGGAAGGAATCATGACCAGAAGCCCTCATGTAACACTACAGTGCAGAGAGGACTTCTCCCCCCTTTAAACTACGTAATTTTAAGAAAAGTCACCTTTCTACAGATTAAAAGATTCGGTCGCTCACGTGGACGGGGCTCTGTATGTACCAGAGGAACTAATGTTCAACATGAGTATTTGTGTTTCTTTGGCTTCCTGTATTACATTAATTAGGGTGGGATTTATCTTGAAGCACTCCTCCACCCTCACAAAAGATGGTGGAAATAAAATACAATGTAAACACGAAGTATTCTGACCCACTTCCCTGCCAGGTTGGTCACTGAATTATAAGCTGACCCATTTGCAGCAAAAGTTTTAGGACAGTTTGGAGCTTTCAGTAAAAGCAAACTGCTTCCTGTCACTTAGGAAAATGTACCCAGGAGCATGGTACCTGCCTATTCACTGGGGGATCATGCTAGAATACTTAATTCTTCTGAGCATACTCATTCTCCTAAGATGCTGCATTAATTTTTATGTTCAGAAAACATTTATTTTATGAAAGTTCAGATGGATATCGCTTGTACATACCAAGAAATATAAAACATTGTTTTAAATGTCTGTATTTTAGATGTTTTATAAATAAAATGGCCTTTGTCGCCTTCATAAAAACAAAGCTTAAGGCTAATTTTTCAAGTTGTAATGCAAATAAGTTAATTATATGATTAAAAGTATGAGATATTAATGCTTAGTCAAAAAATATGGTCATATTTTAATAGATGCAATGATTATAATAATAAATTATGGCTTTATAGTAATAGAGAAATTAAAACACTAATTTGAATGAATGGCTTGGTATGCACTAGAAACATTGTGTTTGTGTGTGTGTGTGTTTTCTTGTGCAGACGCAGAAGCTACCTGATATAAGCCATAGAGCGGGGAGATGGGTGTGGGTGTAGGTATATGTGTGTGGGTATTATACAGATTTCAAAGTAATTGGAACTGCATCAACTGAAGAAAGAAGACCCAATATCCTGTAGTTACAGTACCAACATAAACTAAAAGGGAATAAATATCAATACCATAAAGTTATTTTCTCTAAAAAGTGAGGAAAATAAAGATACAAGGATATCAATGTCAGATTGATACTATGTAATAAAAATGAGCATATGTTTCTACTTTATACTACATTTTCTCATGGAATGTTTAATTTTCTAAGAGTAAATATAAGGAAATTTGGCACTGACTTTGGTTTTGTTTCTTTGTTGCATATGTGAAGAAAACGGAATATCCTGATGTTGCCTGGCCGCTGAGATTCCGCATCCTCCACGAAATTGCACTGGGCGTGAATTACCTGCACAATATGAACCCTCCTCTACTGCATCATGACCTGAAGACTCAGAATATCTTATTAGATAATGAGTTTCATGTTAAGGTAATTACTTTTTTAAAAAGTTTATGTGTATCCATGCGATGAATAGCTTTGAAAAGGGTTATTTTTCCACCTACGAACTCAACCTCTCTGCCTTTTCCATGGCCCCTAATTCTTATCTGCAGTGTCCCTTCTTCCTGCTGCAATGGCTTAGTCATTCCTGGGACCCAACTACAGTACAAAATATAAAGTCATTATGTTCCTTTTTTTTTTTAATCCTTACCTGAGGATATTTTTTCCATTGCTTTTCAGAGAGAGTGGAAGGGGGAGAGAGAGACATCGATTGTTGCCTCCCACACACGCCCCAACCAGGGCCAGAGATCGAGCCTGCAACTGAGGTGCGTGCCCTTGGCCGGAATCGAACCTGGGACACTTCAGTCTGAGGACCTACGCTCTAGCCACTGAGCCAAACCGGCCAGGGCAAAGTCATTACGTTCTTAACTGAAATTGTGGAGCACACCTTTCTTTACTTCTTATTTTGAAATTTGTATAGATTCACAGGAAGTTGCAGAGATGATACAAAGAGGTCCCATGTGCCCTTCACCCAATTTCTGACAATGGTCACATGACACATAATGACAGTATAATTTCAAGGCCAGGAATTTGACACTGATGCACGTATGCAGTCCTGTGTCACTCTGTCACCTGTGCACACTGCCCCACACCACAGAGAGCTCTCACGCAGCTCTTTCCAGCCACACCCCCTTCCTGCCCTGCACCCTCCCTGGCCCCTGGAAACCACCCATCTGTTTTCCATATTTGTAATTTCTTCATTTGGAGGATGCTTTATAAACAGACTCATACTGTGTGTGACATGTTGAGGGTGGCTTTGTCTACTTAGCATAATGCCTTTGAGAACCAACACGCTGCTACTTGGAGTAGCCCACTTGTTTAACCACCCGCCTGTTGAGAGACTGGTTATTTCCAGGCTTTGGCAGCCGCTATAAGCTCCCATGAACAGTCCTGTGCAACTTTCTGATTGAACATCAGTCTTCATTCCTCTGGGATAAATGCCCAACTGCTTGGTCCCATGGTAAGAGTATGTTTAGTTTATTAACTATTTTGTCCAACTATCTTCTGGAGTGGCTGTGCCGTTTCACATTCCACTAGCAATGTGGGATGAGACCCAGCTTTTCCACACCCTTGCCCGCATTTGGTGTTACCGCCACAGCTTCTATTTGGGCTGTTCTAATAAACGTATAGTGATATCTCGTCATGTCTTAATTTGCATCTCCCTAATGGCTAATGATGGACCCCTTCTCATGTGCTATGTGTCATCTATCTGTTCTTTTCAATGAAAGGTCTCTTTATGTCTGAAGCCATTTTCTAACTGGGTCTGGGGTTCTGTACCGTCAGTTTCGGGGGTTTCTGTACCATCAGTTTTGGGGGTTCTGTATGATGTCTCGAGGGGAGCCCTTCATCAGATCTGTGGTCTGCAGTTATTTCCTCCTTTAAACAGGGCCCTTCACAAAGCAAAGCTTTTCCTTTTGACCAAGTCCAGCTGGCCATTTGTTCTGCCAGGACCATGCTTCTGCTGTCATGTCTACGCCCTGGGTAATGAAGATTTTCTTCTGTGTTGTCCCTCAGAGTTGTATAAGTTTATGCTTTTGAGTTCATGTTATTACTCTGAGCTAATGATGGCAGAGGAAGAGATGCAGTGACTTCAGTTACCCTTCACCTAACCGACGGCAGCAATAAAAGGTAGTTGCTGAGTAGTTAATACTAAATGTAACTCATTTTATTTTTATAAATTACTTTGCTGCATTTCTTACAATAATACACGTAGTTGAAATTATTGTAAATATAAAAAATGTTCAGAGAAAAAAGTAATAGGGAAGTTGGAACAACAGAGAAATAAGTACAAGAAATGTGAAAAAAATTAAGTGAAAAAATTAACCTTCCCCTTCCTCGAATAAGATGGGGGAGGAGGGGAAGGAAGCAGTTGCTGCCCCCGTCTTGCTAGAAAGAGACTAGGCTATGGCATCAGTTGTGGAACCTCAGCTAGTCCCTGCATCTTCCTTGCAACCACCCTTGGCCTCCAAGGCAGACCCTGTGACAGGGGAGCCTCAGCATCCACCCTGGAATGACTGTGACTTTCTCCTGTGATCAGCCAGAGCTCCTTCCCTACAGCTTCTGCCCAGGTCTACTCTTTGTAATAAGTGGAGTCGGTCCAGTTCTGCCTCCACAGAATAGCCCATCCAATGCTTGAGGATGGCCATAGCCCTGCCCCTCACACTCTGTTATGGCTTCTTCCTGCCAAACATCCCTGAGTCCCCAACCAGTTTCCTTATGACCTGGTTTTAATCCCAGGTGCTATCTAGGTGAATCTGTGTCCAATCTCTTAAATTTTGACCCTCAGAACTGAATAAAATACTCTGTCATTGTGGTCTGACCACTGTAGAGTTGACCTGAAGTGTCATGTACCCTAGTCCTAAATACTTCACTGAAAAGTTTCTTAGTCATTCAGCAGCTTTTGGGGAGCAGCCATATCCCAACACTCAGATTGGGCTCAGTGTCAACAGAAAGCCCTTCGAGTTTCTTTCTTGGTACTGTTGCTTGGCCATGTCTCCGTATCACGTGCTTTACAGAACCCTTTCTAGACATCAGTTTTATCTTGTTAGACCTAAGCGATCAATTCACCCTTTAAGGCCTTCCTGAATGTTATTTCTGTGTTCCAAGGATTGTAGTTTCTTTCCCAGCTTTGTGTCATCCTAAAGTTTAGCTAGTGTTCTGTCTCTTCGGGTTGTGATTAAGGTAGTGGCGCAAAGCTCCGCTCAGAGCTTCACTCTAGGGTACTGAGAACCTTCCGTGGGTCCCTATCAGCCCACTCCCTCCCTCCCTTTTTGGGGTGGGGCCATATTTATCTCAAATTAATCTACACAGCAAACAAACGATTTCTTCTGTTAAAACTAGTAGAAGTATAGAGCTGAATAACTGAAGCAGCAGTGTCCTGGGCGGAGCGCATCCCACTGTGCGTGCTGACTCTGAATTCCTGCAGTGGGTCTCAGGAACTGACCTTCAGTGCCTTCCAAGGTTTCCCATCCTCTTCTGTCCACTACATATTGTTTCTGCTCTTATATTTTGTCTTCCATCTTAAAAAATAAAGTACCTTTTAAATATTTAGTGATAAGATACACTAAATACATGCAGAATATATACTAGTGACATAGAACTGTGAAGGACACATCAGAAGCAGGAATGTCTGGCCCCAGGAATTCTTTAGGTGCTCGTTGTCACAGATAAATACGCTTTATATGAAACGATTCTACTGCCAACAGACGGGGCTTTTTTAGAGTAGGCATAAGTCGTATAACAACGAACTATACACTGGGGGATTCTGCTTTTCGGAATCCAAGGATGCTGCTGTAGAGCACTGTAAATGGGAACATGTAAACCCGAGGGGTACCTGCACCTGCGATGTTCCCATGGGAAGGGTAGGTTAGCAGCTCTGGGAGGTGCAGGTGGATTGGAAAAGCACAGGCCAGGAAGCTGCTTGTCATGAAAAGTGTTCAGTGGATATGCTCATCTAGATTATAAGGAAAATACTCCTCTTTCTTTTTCTAAGTCTCCCTTTAGAAATCTGTAATATTGAGCTAAACTTCAGGTCAGTGTGTATTGCTTCTAAAGTCACTGGGCTCAGAATATGGAATCCAAGAAACTGGTGGAGTATGTAGAAATAATAATATACACAATATTTATACTGAATACACATAAACGAAGATGATCGATTCTTGGATTTGTTTAAAGAGAAAGTCTTGAGATTCAGTCACTCACTCTTTCTCCTCACAGATCGCAGATTTCGGTCTATCGAAGTGGCGCATGATGTCCCTGTCACAGTCGCGAAACAGCAAAGCTGCGCCAGAAGGAGGCACCATCATCTACATGCCCCCTGAAAACTACGAGCCTGGGCAGAAATCCAGGGCCAGTGTCAAGCATGACATATACAGGTGCAGTGCACTACTCTGCTCAGAGTTAACGTGCCTGAAAACAACACTAGAAAATCAGAATTTTGAGGCTACATTTCCAAGTGTGATTTTCAGTCGTCTTTTCCTGAGTGTGGGGGAAATAAGTTAGAGCCCACAGTGAGAGCATTTCAAGTTAAAGGTGCTTCAAGCCACTTTCACGCCCTTGAAACCATTTTAAAGCACATCTGCTGTCCTGTCAATTTACACTGTAACACTCAGGTTTTATGACATGACTTTGATGTGGGGTAAGGGAGAGAGGGGGAGAGCGTGGTTCACATCTGTCACAACTGAAGAAGACCGTCAATAAATAGGGCTCTGCATGACAACTTTTTTATTGCTCTATTTTGAGTGAATAATAAAATCATATAATTAGAGGGTACAGCTTACCTAGGTGTTCAAGAATGATTATTAAATGATCCATAAGTTATTTTTGTATAACTTCAAATTTTTATAACAGTAATTTCCTAATTTTCAGTTTAAGATTAATTCCCTTTCAAAACAAACTGAATATTCCTCATCTTGGTTGTATATGCTGATTCTTCATACAGCAGCTCACTACCTTGTCACCTGAAAAAACAGTACCTCCACAGTCAGCTTTTAGACCTTGTATTATAGTTTACTATGATAAGCTAGTGTGTATATTTTATCTCCAACAGCTATGCAGTTATCACATGGGAAGTCTTATCCAGAAAACAGCCTTTTGAGGGTAAGTGTGTTCCGGCCTCCTGTTGGGATGATGTCCTGTTGGTGGGCCACATGCAGAACTCTCTAAGGCTCCTCTTGGGCTGAATCTGCCTACCGTTCATTTTGTGGAAAACACACTATAAAACATAACAGCTCACCGCGAATCCCCTGTACACTGAGACGCATACTAGATTCAGGATCAGGAAAACTAGACCCTAATTCTTGCTCTGACAGTGATTAGCTCTGTCATCAAGCTACCAAGTTTCTGGAGTCTTCCTTTTGTTCTCTGTAAAATGAGAATCTTGAATTCCTATTTCTAAGATTCATTCCAGCTATAAAACTCTTCTTACCAAAATTTAATTAGTGCTCCTGGCATAAAGACCATCAAACACTAAAGAATAATTCTTAAATTTTCTGAAAATATATTTACTTTGAGGATTGTATAAGTCAGCTTGCTGTGCAACAGACAACTTCAGAATCTCAGCAAGACAAGACAATGGTGTAAACTCCCCATGGAGAGCCAGACAGGCCTGTGGTGGCTGGGCTATATATATTCCTCTAACAGAAAGGGGGCAGTGAATTAGTCCTAAGATTAAGAGTCCCTCATTTCCACCTGGTTGGTTTTAGAATGCATTTAGCATATTGGATCATAAAAAATTTCTAATGAATGACATGCATTTGTTTCGACAGAAGTAACCAATCCTTTGCAGATTATGTACAGTGTGTCCCAAGGACACCGGCCGGACACTGGTGAAGAAAGCCTACCACCTGATACACCTCACCGAGCACGGATGGTCTCACTCATAGAAAGTGGATGGGCCCAGAACCCCGATGAGAGGCCGTCCTTCCTCAGTGAGTGCACACCTTAGTCTGACCTGAATTACAGAGCAGTGACGTGCTGTGAATAAATGTTCCCTGACAAGAGAGAGGGCAGGCTCACAGCTGTGTTTATTCCCCTCGCTGTTGTGATGCACAGGGTCACACTTCTAGAGCAGAAATGAGAGTCCCAATGGAAAAGGACTCTGACGGGGTAATGATTCTGTTCTCGTACGCCACAAACATTTCCTGAGCACCTACCTTGTGCCGCGTACTGAGATGAGCACTGGGAACAGAGCCGTGACCAAGACTAAGTTGCTAGATTCCTGGAGCTCACCATCCTAGTTGAGAAAGCAGAAAAAATAAATAAATAACCAAGTTAAAATTGTTAAAGTCCTAAAGGAAATAAGCAAGGTAACAGTAGTTAAAGGAGGGGAAGGAGCCCTAGGAACAAATGTTCAACATGAAATTGAAAGCTTGGAAAGGAGGCAGCCTTCTAAAGTTAAAGGGAGTGTTTCTGGCAGAGAACACAGCAGGGCAAGGCCCTCAAGCTGAGAGGAAAGTCTATTTGAGAGGAACAAAAAGAAGGCCTGTGTGGCTGGAATACAGTGAGCAAGGAAGGGAGCAACGTGGCATGAGCATGGAGAGGGAAGGAGAGGCTGCCCTCTCATAAAAAGCTGGGCATTTGTTGCCAGTAAGTGGGGAGCCATGGAGGTGTGTTGCAGGGAGGCGCTGATCTAATGCGGGTCTAGCAGTCACTCCTGTGGCTGTGCGGAGTGGAGGCAGAGGCCAGCCAGGAGACTCCCCTAGTCAGCGTGCTAATCCAGAGACAGAAGGTTAGAGAGAATGAAGGTTTACCAGAGGCAGTGGATCATCACCTAAATGCAGGCGCAGGAGGAAGTGTTCGTGGCCTCAGGTTAGGTAGCGTTCGAGGATGTGACATCCAGTGTAGGACCCATTAAAGAGTTGATAATAGCACTTCACAGAAATGGGGAAATTTCGCATTTCAAAGATTAAAAAAAAGACAAGCCACAGACTGGGAATATTCATTCCAACTAAACAGTGAAATACAGTTCTCATATACTCTTGTTTGAAACTTGTTATAATTCCTCATACGCTATCAGCAGATGTGACCCACACAGACAAAAGCCCCCAGTAATTTTCAGAGTCCTGAGCCCTAAAGGCTTGAGAGCTGCTGTCTGAGATGATAATCCTGGCATCTTCATGTCTCCAAAGTGAAACTCTCCTTGAAACTTTCCCTCTGGTGGTTTCTAAGACTCAGGGAATACTATCCTCTCTTCCTCAGTCTTTTCTCTTCCCCCACTGATTGTCTAACGTCCGAATGCTCAGAGCTCGAACACGGTCCTGGGCACCTTGCTCTCTCTCCTCCCAGGCGTGGCTTTGTGTGCCACTTGTGTTAGTGATGCTCGGTTTACGTGTGGGGCCCGGCCTCCCCGTGAGCAGCAAGCTCGGTTTTGTTGTGGTAACAGCAGTCACCATGGTTGCTTCCACCTGCTGGCTGCCATGAGCAGTGCTGCTGCCAGTTCCCAGGCTGTCTCTGTGTGAATGTTTTCACGTCCCTCAGGTGCCTACCTGTGAGTGGAATTGCTCAGCTTGTGGTAAATTTATCTTTCATTTTTAAAAACTGCCAGACTGTGTTCCAACGTGGCTGCATCCTGCTGTTCCCATTCACAACGCGGGAGGTTTTCCATGTCTCTGCATCACCGTTGACACCTGCTAGTGTGTCTTTTAAATCACAGCTATTTTAGTGGGTACAGGTGATTTCTCACTGCAGTTTTAATTTGCATTTCCCAGTGACTGATGACATTAAACACACTTTCACGATAAGCTTTTTATCCATTTGCATCTCCCCTTTGGTGAAATTTAATTTTCTGCCCATTTTTAAATTGGGTTGTCTTATTAAGTTGCCCAGAGTTCTTTATTCTAATGTATGTCCTTTAGCAGACACATGATATGCAAAAACGTTCTCAGTATGTGGCCAGTCTTTTCATTTTTCTTAATAGTGTCTTTTGAAATGTAAAGGTTTTCAATATTTTGAAACTCAATTATTAATTTTTTATGGATTCTGTTTTTCATGTCATAGCTAAGAATTCTTTGCCTAACCCAAGGTCAGGAAGATTTTCTGTATTTACATTTAGGAGGTGCGTGCAGGTTAATTCTGCATGTGGTGTGAGGGTAAGAGTCTAAATGTATCTGTTTCCAGGTGGCTATCCAGCTGTCCCAGCACCATTTGTTGAAATGACTATCCTTTCCCCACTGAACTGCCTTTCAATTCTGTCAAAAAGCAACTGACCATACTGTGAGGGTTTAACTTCAGACTCTCAGTTCCGTTTCTGTTCCATTGATCTATGTCTTTTTTTTCCCCATCTCCCTACTCCCATCCTTTTGCAACCACCAGCTTGTTCTCTGAATCTATGGGTCTGTTTCCATTTTTAGATTCCACATATAAATGAAATCATATGGTATTTGTCTTTCTCTGTCTTACCTATTCCACTTAGCATAATACCCTCTAGGTCCATCCATGTTGTCTCAAATGGCAAGATTTCATTCTTTTATGTGGCCAAGTAGTATGTATTCCATTGTGTAAATGTGCCACGGCTTTATCCATTCGTCTGTCAATGGACACCTAGGTTGCTTCCATATCTTGGCTAGTGGAAAAAATGCTGCAGTGAACTTAGAGGTACACGTATCTTTTCAAATGTGTTTTTGTTTTCTTTGGATAAATACCCATAAGTGGGATTGCTGGGTCATATGGAAGTTCTATTTTTAATTTTTTGAGGAACCTCCATACTGCTTTCCACAGTGGCTGCACCATCTAAATTCCCACCAACAAGGGTTCCCTTTTCTCCACATCCTCGCCAACAGTTGCTATTTGTTGATTTATTGATTATAGCCATTCTGACCGGTGTGACTGATATCTCATGGTTTTAATTTGTATCTCTCTGATGATTAGTGATGCTGAGGATCTTTTCATGTATCAGTCATCTGTATGTCCTCTTTGGGGAAGTGTCTGTTCAGATTCTCTGCCCATTTTTCAATTGGATTGTTTGATTTTGGTGTTAAGTTGTATGTGTTCCTTATATATTTTGGATATTAACCCCTTATCCAATAAGGGGATATATCATTTGCAAATATCTTCTCTCATTCAGTAGGTTGTCTTTTCATTTTGTTGATAGTTTCCTTTGCTGTGCAGAAATTTTTTAGTTTGATGTAGTCCCACTTATTTATTTTCACTTCAGGAGACATATTAAGAAGATATTGCTAGGACTGATGTCCAAGAGTTTACTGCCTGTTTTCTTCTAGGAGTTTTATGGTTTCAGGTCTTACATTTAAGTCTTTAATCCATTTTGAGAGTATTTTGTTTATAGTGTATGTATGATATCTTTATGCCTGTAACAAAGGCTGTTAAGACAGTTGGTTGTCATTAGTGGGGGAAAATTGACTTAGGGCCTTATTAGTTAAATATTAGCATTTATATTATTCAACTTAATGATTAGATACAATCTGAACTTTAATTTTTTTTCTTACTTAGAATGTTTAATAGAACTTGAACCAGTTCTGAGAACATATGAAGAGATAAGTTTTCTTGAAGCTGTTTTGCAACTAAAGAAAACAAAGGTAAATAAGTTGGTAAATGAAATGCTGGAAATCAGACTTTAAACAGTTACATATTAGTCACACAGACTTTCAGTTTGGTTTATAGTTCTTACCTGTACACTTTTCACAGGCTACAGGTACAGGCTCCAGTATTGGGGTGGAGAGTCTATCAGAGACTGTAAATGTTGTCCTTTTGTCACAAAAGAGCTTTTCCATGCCATTCCAATGGCCACCTCCAGATTTCAGACATTTCCAGAACTCCCATATATTACACTTAAATGTAAAATGTGTCATGAGTACCAGTGTGTACAATGAGTTCCCTAGATCACCTAGAGTTTGAAACCTACATTATTCCCACAGCTTTACTACACTCAGGGTAGGAGCTTCTGGGTCCGTGCACCTCTCTCTGTCCAGTGTTCTTGGGCTTTCCTGAGATTTAAGTTAAGTTGTAAGATTTTTATTAAAAATTGAGGCCAAAATGTGTAGTTTTAAATTGCGTTTTTCTTTTTTGTCGTCCTCTCTTGGTGTTGGTTGCATAGACCACAGTATCGATCGATATGGGCCCGGCATAGTTGTCTTACTCATGCACACTGGCTCTTGCAGGTCAGAACTGAAGGGCCCTAACACTCAGGTTTTGTTTAACAAAGTCATTCAAAAAGCAACTGTTGTCCCTAAGGGAACAGAGCAGATGTAGTTTAGCACTTGCTGGGTTTCCTGATACTTCTGAGATGTGATAATAAAAGTCATTAGCCAAACTCTTAGTGTTTACTTATCACTAAGTGACATTGCTGCTGGCCTCCTGCAGTTTGCCGATCGATGGACATAACCTGTCGTTTAGAAGGGACACGCGTAAAGGAAAAAGCTGCCCTTAACCCAGCTAAAACTTGATGGTGACAATGCTTGTTAGTGCCTGAGTGTTTTAAGGAACTAAAGAGGAATTGTGTTAAGTCTTTGAATAACTTCAGACTTCCCTGCTTCTGAGTAGGTGCAGTCTTTTCCAGAAAATTCCAATTTCTCAACTTCTCAGTAGATACAAACTTCAGTAACATTTCTTTTTGCTTTATCTTTTCAGTTCCCTTTTCTTTCCTCATCACTTTTTCTTCTAAGCAAAGGTGGATAGAAGGGCCTGTTTTCTTGGTTTTAAACTAGAAGAGCACCGTTCTGGTTCCTTTTTGTCCCCAAACAACTTTCACATTGGGATCTATATTTAAAACTGTTCATTTTTAGAAGTTTTGGCTTTTTAAATAAAGTAATTTAAAGTATATATATTTAAATACTTAAATATCATTTAATAATAGCATTACTTTCATGATTGTTTTTAACTTGCTATATTGTTTTCACTTGGAGTTGTTGTATTTTTTAATTTAAAAAAAATCCTTGTATCAGTTCTGTGAAACTCGTACGGCAAGAATATCATCTCCACTGTACAGGTGTGATAATGGAGGTGTGTGGACATTAGTGACATAACACCCCACAAGGCTAGCTAACGGCGGGGCCAAGAGTAGAATACAAATTTAATAAGATTTTTTCATAAAGAAATTTCTGAAAACAGAGGTCACCACTTAGGGTATGTTGTTTTATTTTACTCACATAATTTCTTAATCACCCCCAATTAAAGTACGTACATGTCTTCACTTAGTTACAGAGTGCTTCGAGTACCCTTCACTTATGCGGCAAGAAGAAAATGGAGTTACCTCTGAACATCTCTCTAAATCATGCTCCACAAGAGGTAAACAAAATGATGTTAATAAACTCAAAATGTGAGAAGACTATGAAAAATCATTTAATCTAACTCCTTGTATCACCGGGAACCCAGCCAGGGAGGTGCCAGGTGCTGCCAGGTAGCCATGGCAGCCCCAGATGCAAGCACAGCTCTCCCAGTTCTAGTTCACTGTTCATCTCCTCAGAGCAGTCTGGCTTCCTTGTGTGGCACCGACTTCTGCCCCTGCCATTGATCTGTGATGAATGACGTCCAGGGTAGTACCAGGCCAGTCCTTGACTACAGTCCTGCCACTACACTTACGCCTGTCCTTTCCTCTTACAATGATTAATAACAGGGAAATGCCATTTGTGTGACTACCCACAAAGAAAGATTTCTTTAGTAGCAGTCACTCAGGCTTATCTCATATTGGTCACTTCTTTTAAGAATGTGTGTGTTCACTTCACAGATTCGGAAAATAAAAGTGATCCCTAGAGCACAGCACATGGTCTCTGAGTCACCTTCACATACACGATCTCACTGGATCTCTGAGCCCACACATGCACACTTTTAGATAGTACAGATATCAGAAAAGTACTCGAGAGCCAGAGGGTTGAAATGCCTTGCCAAAAGTGAGTCTGTAACTCCATGATGGAGCCAGGAGGGGGCCCAGCTCTCCACCACTTCTGCATGGACCCTTCCATGTGGATGGGACCTGAGGCACTGAGAGTAGGCATTTGCTCTAAATCAGTAGGTAACCAGATTGGCAAATTTCAAATTTCTTATCAACTGTTCAGAGCGTCTAAGATCATATAGCAAATACTGGAAAAATAATGATTTCTAATTTATATTTAATTATTGTGCCCCCCATCTGAGCTGACAAAAAAAATCAAGTTTTTTTGTTTATGTGATGTATTTGTTTCTTTACTTTTGTAAGGCATAATCTGTAGTTTTGACTCTGTTTATAATATGCTAAAAGCAAGCACTATTTAAAAATTAAAGCTGTGTAACTTTAAAATGAGTTTTCATTGACCTACTTGCTTGTCCCGTTTACTTCAGGAATCATGTGGATCCTCTCAGCTTCCTAAAAGTGGTGGTTCTCCCGGAACCTCCAGGTTCCTGTCAGCTCCTCAAGACAACGATTTTTTATCTAGTACGTACGTTTTTTAGTCAGTATGATTTGGAATTTTCCATTTTCTTTCAAGATGATGTTCTTGGCAAACAGTCATGGTTTGTATGGAATGTGTCTTTCATTTGCATTCATAGCTCATGTTTACAAAGGAACAGAGTACAGATGGTCTAGGATGTTCAAGAAATCCACTCCAGTATAAAAGTGGATTTGTATAAAAATGTTAGACATTATAGAAAAGCATAAAACAATCTCTTATGAGAAAGAGGAGCAGTGTGTGTGAGTGTCCACAGTGTGGGACAGAAAGTGATTGATGCAGGAGGGAGGTGGACACAGAGCTGTGGTATTCCTGTAGGAGAAGAGCGTTCTTCACAGGCACTTTCACAACAGCCTGTGAGGGAGACTGCCTCATTTTACAGACCTTTAAGATCAAGATTTCTGGATCACACAGATTGTAGCTGGCAAATCCAAGACTGGAAGCCAAGTCTTTGATAAAATTTTCATGCCGTTTGACTCTACTATGTGGTTATCATGTAGTTATACAGGGTGGACATTCCAGGCAGAGGCTCAGCAGCAAGAAAGCACAGTGAGCAGTCGGGATTCATGGAAGACGGGGTTGGAAGGCGAGGAAAGGCAGTAGGATGGAGCCCAGCACCAGGCTGCGCTGTCGGGGGCCTTCACATGGGTAGGGCGCAAGCACAGCAAATTTTTGAGCAAGAGAGTGACATGATGAAATCCTCTGCTTTAGGAAGGTTCATCCTGGCCAGACTCTGTAGGATATTTTGGGAGGAAAAGGAGATGAGGTGGGGAGACCAGTTAGGAGACTTTGGTCTGTGCTATAGCACAGCTGAGAGACTAGGAGGCCTGATCAGAGGACAGGAAGGGAGGAAGTTGTGCCAGGTGTGTGGACACTGATAGGACTTCTCACTTGCAGGAGGGAACAGAGAGAGAGGTGGGACTGGGAGAACATCAGTGCCATTAACTGAAGTAGGTTTTAGGGTTAAGATGAATAAGTTTTTAATGGTTTTTTTAATTTGAAGTGCTCAGCAATGTATATGAGGGTGAGGTCCAGTTGGCTGCTTAAAATGTGAGACTGAGGTTCCATGAAGTCAGAAAAGGTAATTACATGGACTTGGGAAGAGAGGTGACAGCTGAGGCCCTGAGGCTGAACAGGATTCCCAAAGGGGAGTGTAGAGAAACACGTCACATGCAGAATCAGAGGACACTTCCAACTGCGGACGGTGGGGATAGGGAAGGAGAATGGGATGCTATAAAAAAGTAAAAGTCCATGACTTGTAATTTACAGACGAGCACAGAGTATGGTAGGAACACTGAGTATAGACCCTTTTCTGTTCTAAACCACACTCACTTGCAGAACTAGGTCTATGCGCCAGCTTGAACAGCAGTGCAGAATGGCAGACACTGAGTACTGGCCTCTGTATGATCTGTGTTGACACCTAAGCTAACATAGCAGGAATAGCTGAGGGATATCCTACTCCCAATGAAGATGTTGTTTTTCAGGAAAAAAACAGGACCCCTCTACCCTGCTCCACCTCCCGGCAAATCATAGCTGGGACAACATGTCTGCAGCTCAGACAGCCACCTTCTGTGACCACAAGACCGCCCTGTGTTCTTTAGCAATAAACCCACTCTCAGCTGTGGGAAATTCAGGTAAGTTTCGGCTGTGAGACGCTCACCACTCTGCTCATAGGCCTGCCACACCGTGTTGTCTTCACTTCCTCAATGTGACACGTACATTCTTAGCCCCAGCACACAGGAGGGCTGACGTGCAGTCACACTCAGTGGTGGTCCTTCCACGAGCATCCCTGGGGAGGGAGGCTAGGAGGAGGTGTGACCTAATACGTTACTAAAGGCAGAGTAGTTTTTATTCATCTAACAATGTACAGGTATCTTTCATACATTTTTTAAAAACCTGAAAAATGGCTTTGCCCCCAGGATTTATAGCATATAAAAAGGCAGTGCTTTTTCTGGGAGGGGACGGGAAGAGATAACTCAAATATCTGAATATTTTCTGAAAAGCAACAGCATCCCCGGAAATACTGGTTTTCCATGTTAGCACAATCAGTAAAATGAGGTTTGATGCCTCATCATTTCTTTTCCATCTGCTTTTACTCCTCACTATGTATCTGTTCTCACCTTTCAACTGTCCCTTGCTCTGTCCAGAGCGACCGCAGCCTGGAGTGGCCCAGCAGTGGATCCAGAGTAAAAGGGAGGACATTGTGAGCCAGATGACGGAAGCCTGCCTCAACCAGGTGCTGGACGCCCTCCTGTCCCGGGACCTGATCATGAAGGAGGACTATGAACTCGTCAGCACCAAGCCCACCAGGACCGCAAAAGTCAGGCAGTTGCTGGACACCACTGACATCCAAGGGGAGGAGTTTGCCAAAGTGATAGTGCAGAAGCTGAAGGACAACAAGCAGATGGGCCTCCAGCCCTACCCGGAGACGCTGCTCGCTTCTCGGTTTCCGTCCTTAAATTTATTTCAAAATAAAAGCTTGTAGGTGACTCTTTTTCAAGAAGAAAAGTTAGTTTATTAAAAGGCATTTTATATTTCTGTGGTCCTGATCAGACTGTCACTGTGAAGTCCATGTGAGTATTTGTAGCTCTAATGAAGTTTCTCCTTCAGGTAAATTTTATTTTCTGTGACATTACAGTATTTTTAAAAATTAAAATAGTAGAAAGTTTGCATTTGCTACGTAGTTCAATTTTTATCTCTCTCGTTAACTGAAGCTATTTTTTCTTTTTATTTATTTTTTATTGATTTTAGAGAGAGAGACATCAATGTGAGAAACACCAATTGGTTGCCGCCCTTAAGCGCCCCACTGGGGATTGAACCCGAAACCTTTATTTGGTGCATGGGACCATACTCCAACCACCTGAGCCAACCACCCGGCCAGGACAACTGAAGCTGTTTTTTAAATGTAATAATTATACGCTTCCTGTACATAGGGATGTCTGTTGGTGTTGGGTGTTTCTCGTGGAAGTGTCTTCACACTCACTGTTTGTGGATTATTTATTATGCATCTGAGATGCAGCCTGCTTCTTGCAGTGTCCTTTATACTCACACTAGAGAGAGCACGGTCTTCAACCCCCGTCCAGCCTCACATCCTCTCCCAGGGGTGTGTGTTAAACTCTGTTGTCCAGATTACATTTTTAAATGTTATTAATGGAATTCTTTTTAAAAACTGTCTCACAGGTAAAACAATACAAAGTATATAAAGAAAAATATTAAATCTTTCAACATGTGTTTCTACCTCCATTTCTGACCTCAACCAACAACCTCAGCGTGAACAGTGTGACTGTCCTACCCCCCGCTTCCTGCTCACCTGGGGGAGGGCGTTCCTTCCTTCATCATTCCAGCCCTGTCCTGCCCGTGCACCGAGTTACGCTGCGGCCCGGTGACACAGAGCTCTCATGCATTCTTCTAACTGCTACACATCATCAGGGTGGCTTTTTTATTTAAGATTTAGTGCGAGTTCTTTTTTGGTTAATTAGGTTACGTCACCACGTGGAAATGTACAAGGAAAATGTTTATTAGCAATGTCAGCAAAAAGTGTGACACCAGACAAAGCTGAAAGGATGAACTTCTAAGAAGAACCATAAGCATGGTATGGAAACAAATAAAAAGCAGAGACGACCGGACGGCGTTGAGGCAATTAAATATTTTGTTAAAATTATAAAAATACATATTTTAATCTCCGTTTTGGAGGTTGACATTAACCTGTGGTACCTCATTACTATGCCTCTGAGAAATGTGGAAATTAATATGGGCAATGGAAACTACATGAGTTATCTATTATTATACCTATTATTTTTTGAAGTGTTGGGATAAAGATTTATTTTGAGAAATAAGTTGAGAAAAAAGCATCTTCTTTTAAGGTTTTCCCCTTTCTGTATACATATTCTAAAAAATTAATTACTTTAAATCTTGGTCGTTTCAAATTGGCCTTTATGTCGGTTTGATGATGTGGTGGTCTGACTGGTAAAGTGAACTTTGCCCTGTGGTTTTCATTCTGCCTAGTTCTAAAAACCCAACCTTCTAACCAGTCTGTATGCATACGGTGCATGCATACCAGCCACTGTCTCCCATAATTTAATACGAGGCACAAAATAAGATGATACCGAGGGTCCGGGTGGATCTGCAAGCAGCCCTCATCCCTAGTAGAGCTGCTGCCATCTCAGTGGCCAGTTTTCATTGTAGTCCATGTTCAGTGACTGATGTTTAGGGAAAGTGTGACAGGGTGTGCTGAGTCTATCCGGTCAGGAGAGAAGCGGGCCTGGTGTAGAGGAGAGGCTTTGGAGTGTCTCTTTAGTGGTCGTTCAGTGGAATGAGCTGCAGACGACGAGAAAGACGTGTCTTTGACATCATGTCTCCCAAGGCGCTGTGCAAGTATGGCTGGAGCAGACAGGCTGGGCTGCCTCGGTGGTCTGCGGACACAGCACTAAGCAACATTTGGGTGCTGTGATAAGAAAGTTCTTTTCAGTGCTTTCTCGAGCCTCCTGATTAAGGAGAATGTCACAGCTGCGCTGTCACCTTTTAACCCCCCTTGTTAACAAAAAGAGAACAGGCTTCAGGCTCAGAACTTCGGAAACAATACTTAGCAAGAATTTTTCATTTTTTAAAATTGTATTTTGTTTGAAAATGACCTTCTATATATGACAAATGGTAGTTTTCTATGTATAATATATAAAGTTTCATTTTATAATATTGAAATAAAGACCATTTGAGGTACTGAGTTGCATGGGTCATACCTGACTGTGCCATCACTCATAGTAGGAGGGCAATAGGGTAAGATTGAGTTGCTCTGGGAAGGGACCACAGAGTCTGTAACCATCTCTTTTAACCAGAAATGTTAGAGGACACTGAGGGTGGCATCTTCACACTGTGTCAGGACAGAGCCACCATGGTGAAGGCCACAGAGCAGCTGCCTTGGCATTGCTGGCACGCGTCAGAAATGCAAATCCACGCTCACCTCAGATCTCTGTATTGGTCTCTGGTGGTGAGGTCCAGGAATTACTGTAACAAACCCTCCAACAAGGATGCAAAAGTTCCCAATCCCGTGTTAAAAAACATAGTAGGATTGTGCATGAAATAATTCCTCTTTAGTTCACATCTGTTTCCTGTGTCTGGTCACTCTTGTCTTCAGAATGAACAGTCTCAGAACAGAGGTCTGATTAGGAAATTTAACAGTTTTTTGCATCCAACTTGAATTCCCGAAACAACGTTGGTCATGCTTTGTATTTTAGAAAAACCACTTGACCATGGTAGTCAGACCCATAGAATAGAATCTACAACTCACCTTTTCAGGAAGAGGTTCAGAGGGACAGATACTGAGTGATGACCACAGACACAGAGCTGATGGGAAAGACAAGGGAAAAGCTGACGGCTAAGGCCCCAGGGATGGGACTGGGCGTCCAGAGGGACTTCCAAGTGGCGGGGCTGCTTTTCATTTCCCTCCTTTGTCATGAATCCTCTTCCCGCCTCACCCACCTCAGTCGAAGACTCAGTTTTCTAATTTAGGTAGAAAAATTACAACCCGCTGGGAGAAAGGAGAAGCAGTAAGTGCTCACATTCGGCTACCCTCACAAGCAGCTCGTAGTCTGTGGAAATGTTTCCTCTGAAAAGGCACCTCCCACTGAGCCTGGTTCCCAGCCTAGCTCCTGGTCTTCTCCATGGGGTCATGTTTCCTCTCAAACAATCCACCTTTCCTCTAAAAGCAGAACTCCTTTCCTTTGCCCAACTATCCCTTCTGGTCCTCTTCCTGGGAAACATCCTAACTGCCTGTAGTCTTGTTCCCAGGATAGTTTGTAACCCTTTAAAACCTGATGTCTCAGAGTGAATAAGTCTAGGTGGAAAGGGACAATTACACGGTGGGTAGGCCTCAGATTCCTCTACACTGAGGACGTGAAGCAGATGTGTGTCTCGTGCTCAAAATTTCCACTGATGGCGGGATCTGCTGCCATTCAGGCAGTGCCCTCATCCCCAGACAGGCTGTCAGGCAATCTTTCCTGGGCTGGTTCGAAAATCGACTTCTGTAGTTTGTATCCTCTGGTCCTGGATCCAAACCTTGGGACAGAGTAAGCAGTAAATCTATCGCCTCCCCACATGGCGGCCGTTCCTGAATTCCCAGGCAACCCTCCTGTTTCTAGTGACCTTTTATCTGCTTCAAAACAATCCCTTCTTCCAAAGGCTGTTTAAGAGGCTTGGTCTGTGTTCCTCTAAAGATTGGTGTCTGTCACTGACACAATGCTCCAGTCCAGGGAGGTCTCGCCAGCGCAGTGGGATGCCTCCTCTGTATAACTGCAACACTGAAAGCCCATTTACCAGTAGTCACACATTGCTGTTGAACGGACATCTGTCAGCTAAACACCTCTGGCTGCCTGTTTTTGCCTTCTCTCCTCTTTATAATCAGAACTGAATTGGGTTTCAGGCCCACGTATAACACACTGCCCTTGTCCCTCTTAAATTAGTTTTTCTAACTTCATCCCTAGTTCCAGTCATTCAATATCATTTGTTTCCTAAATCTGGGATCTCCCAGTTCATCATCCACAAAGTCTACAAAGTGCCTTTCGTAATTTCATTCAGGTTACTAATTAAAATGTTGAGTGGTGCTGGGCCAAGGATAAAGTCTGCAGAATGCCACAGGCTTCCTCCCTTCAACATGACGAAGCTCAATTAATCGTCAGTGTTTAGGCACAACCATCCCCAGTCACTAGTGATTATGATCAAAAATTTTTAATGTGTTGGACATATTATTCATCATTAAAGAATATGGAATCTCTACGTTTAACCAAAATCATCTCTATTTCCAGGTCAGTTTTTAAAGCATTGGCTTTTTTTTTCATCTAAGATGTTATTTCAGTGTAAGCATGTTATTTTTTTGCAGTGAGAATATTAACATTAAAAAGACCTGTCTCCTCTCCTTCCATACAAACAATATGGTATTGCTCAGCTCTGCCCATGAAATCCAAGTGCAAGGCACAGTGCCCACAAACCTCATGATTTAAGGATACCAATTGTATAAAGAATCCCCAAATTCAACGTCTGGACAAAAACCTTAGAAAATTAAAGAGTAAACGGAGCAGCAGGAAGGTGGCTCTGACCTCTCCACCACCTCATCCTTCTTCCTCCATATGGGCCACAGAACCCAGAACTCGCTATGCCAGGCGCTCCCCCTGCACCAGGGCAGGCAGACACTTCTCCCGGGTGGGCACCTGGGGGCCGAGAAACCCGCACAAGCAGCCTGTTAACTTGCCCCATCTCCCCAGTTACTTCACCATTCGCTCCCTCACCCAACCCCCAGGTCTTGTTGACAGCTCCTACTCTGGCCGCTTCCTCAGGTCCCTGTTCTCCTATGAAGGCTCCATGCACACATGAAACTTCAATAAAATGGTTTTGCTTTCCTCCTGTGCATCTGTCTTTGTTAGTGTGATGTTCGGACTCAGCCAGAGACCTAAGGGGTCAAGGAGAACCCCTTCCTCCCCTACGAGGCATTGAGCCCTAAGAGGTTATCCAGTTACTTTATTCCTAAATTAATATCTGTCTGAAGTATGCCATTTCAAAAGCACTGATCAACATAAAGCTCGTTTAAGATCACTTCCCTTTTCCCTTTTCTCTGCTGGTGGTCATATCACCATTCTCACCACAGTTGTTGAAGAAGGAAATTGGAGGGGTGGAATGAAGAAACCCAC